CCCACCCCAAGGTGTCTCTAATCAACTCAAGGTGCCTCCAACCACCTCGAGGTGCCACTGCCCACCCCAAGGTGCCTCTAACCACCTCGAGGTGCCTCTATCCAACCTGAGGTGCCTCTAACCACCTCAATGTGCCTCTACTCACCTCGAGGTGCCTCCAACCACCTCGAGGTGCCTCTACCCACCCCAAGGTGCCTCTAACCAACTCAAGGTGCCTCCAACCACCTCGAGGTGCTTCTGACCACTCCAGGGTGCCTCTAAGCACCTCGAGGTGCCTCTACCCACCCTGAGGTGCCCCTGTCCACCTCAAGGTGCCTCTGCCCACCCCAAGGTGCCTGCAACCACCTTAAGGTGCCTCTAACTACCTCAAGATGCCTCTGCCCACCCTGGGGCACTTCTACCCACCTCAAGGTGCCTCTACCCACCCTGAGGTGCCTCTACCCACCCTGAGGTGCCTCTGCCCACCTCGAGGTGCCCCTGCCCACCCTGGTTCACCCTACCTGGCCCCTGGGTGCCCTGGGCAGGTGGCTGCTGGTCGTGCAGGCTCTGACTGTCCACGGAGATGCCACTGTCACTGTGCAGCTTCTCCCCCTCTGGTGAAGGTGTCTGGTTCACCGGGCGGTTGTTGGCCCCTTGCTTATTCTGTTTGCAGTTGTTCCACCTGCAGGGAGAGGAGCAGGGAGGTGATCTCCTCCAGGCTGGGAGAAGATCTGTTTTGTCCTCCTTTTCCTGGGAGAAACTTTTCTCCTACAGCTTCTGGCTCAACTTCTTGGTTTAAATTGGTGTTTGTAGGTACCAACTGGACACTTGAGCTCCTGAGCTTTCATAAGGTTGGAAAAGACCTCCAAGATCATCAAATCCAACCTTCAACCAGATCCCACCATGCCCATTAAACCCATCTCCAAGGGGTTTAAACACTTCCAGGGATGGTGACTCCACCACTTCCCTGGAAAAAGTCCATGAGGAAAGACCAGGGCAGGGTCTGGTCCCTTCTGCATGGCTCCACTGCAAAAATACACAGCCCTGCTGGAGCACACAGGATTCCAGGGCTGCCTGCAGGTCCCCCCTCCACTCTTGGGGTGCCTCCAGCCCATGGAGTCACCAAGCCAGCCCTGGCTTGCCCAGGGCCAGGTGCAATCCCTGTGCCCCAGGGATGAGCTGCTGAGTGTGATCAGCCACGACAGCCACCCACAGCATGCCAGGATGAGCAGGGAAGGTGGTGCAGGGAGGGCTCCTCCAGCCTGCACCCCCTCCCTGCTGCCAGCTCCCTCAACTGCCTGATTTCTCATGGAAATCCACCTCCAGCCTGGTCCTCTCCCTCCTTGTTGATGACAGCTCTGGCTGTAGGACCTCCATGGGGAAGGACATCACCTGTGTCCCACTCCCTAAATCCCCTGCCACGTTCCTATGCCTTGGTCCTCTACCTTTTGAAGGCAATGTAGGCCACCAGCCCCACCACCACAGCTGCCAGGATGGAGCAGTAGACAGGGATGAGGTTGTCAGCAGTGCCATAGCTCACCACGGGCTGGGAGCTGCCCATGACAGTGGTGACGATGTCTGCCAGGGTGCTGGGCATGACCTCTGTGTTGAAAGGGTCCCTGGTGATGGGCTCAGGGCTGTCAGAGCCCACCAAGGATGGGGTGTGTGTTGTCCAGCGAGGGTGGAGACCTGTCAGGAGGGAGGGAAAGAAATAGGAACAGTTACAATGATCTCTGCAGGGATCTCCTTCCAAAGATGACATCTCTGCCCTGTTTTCTTCTCTCTAGGCTTGTTCTTGCTTGTTCCCAAGACATGCCAAAGCTGTCCCCTGTTTATGATGCCTGGTGATGGTTGGACATGGACACAACTTTCCCAGCAGTGGATTTGTTCAAGTTCAGCAGCTCTTCCCACTATGGGCAGACTGAGCTCTGGGCTCCCACCACTCATCCCAAAAGTCAGGGAAGCCTCTTGTCCACTGCACATCTGCACTAGGACCAGCATAAATCAACCCAGGTACCTCTACAGCTCCCAGGAGCACCAGAGCCTGGATGTGCCCCTTTCCTGGCCCCTGCCTGCAGCCACACACCCTGCCAGCCCCTTGGGGAATGACCTGACACACCTAGGTGTGTCCCACAGACTGGGTGGATTTGTCTTGTCTTGCCCCAGAGAAATATTCTCAGCTGTGGCTTCCCCATCTCCTCCCCTGGGTGCCCAAACCCACTGTGTCCCTCTCCAGGAGCTTGTTTTTTGCCCATTGGCAGTGAGTCCTGTGGAGCTGTGCCACATCTGCCAGCCCAGAGAGGATGAAGCTGCATCTCTTGCTCCATCCTTGAGTGAGGATGTGTCTGGTACCATGGCAGGGAGCTGCATTTCTCCCTGCAGTGCCATAGCCACTGTCCCAGCAAGGAT